CCCGCCTGGGACCAGGTAGGGCACTTCTGAAGTCCTCCCCTTGCTCGGGTCCCCGCCTTCGCTGGGCAGCCCTGCAGCCTTCCCGGGTCTCTTGCTCGTTCATGCCCACCTTCAGAGTAAATGTTTGTCTCCAGGTCTGCTCCTCAGACCCCAACCTAAGCAGCAAGGCAGGCTCCCGAGCATGGTTCAGGCTCCAGGCAGATAGCTGCTCGGCCACTACCAGTCTATCTCCAGGCAGCAGGGTGGCCACGAGCAGACACAGATGTCCCTCAGCAGCCACGGGGTGTTGGTTACAAACTCCACTCCTGTATTAAAATCAGAGGATGCCCATGCCTCTTATATAAAATGATGTAATATTCTGCATAAAACTGATGCACATCCTCCTGGTCATTTACATCATTTCTAGATGACTTTTACCTAGCACAGTGTAAGTCTGCCCAGAGCTGTATTACACACACACACACACACACACACACACACACACACACACACACACACACACACACTATTCGTATGTTGTTCAGGCTGCCTTCTAATGCACCATTTAGCCGAGAACAGCCTTGGACTTCTGATCCTCCCGCTCCTGCCTCCCCAGTGCTGAGATTACAGCCTTGCCCCACCACACCCTGTTTATACAGTGCTGGGATTGGAACCCAGGGCTTCGCGCATGCTACGCTAGCACTCTACCAGCTAAGCCTCAGCCTCAGCCCAATGCACCGTGGTCTTTGTGGATTTGCTGGTGGTGTACTCTGACTCTAGCGGTGTGGATAGATAGACAATCCTCTGCCTCTTGGGCTAATTTGCTCATCTACAGGATGATCACTGGTAAGTAACAACAAGGGTCGGGATAATGGCTGCCTTAACAAGCTTAGCAGTGTGTAGACCCAGGACAGTGGCCACCCTTCCTAGTCACCCTGCCACTACACTTCCTGTCCTGCTCTGCCATTCAGTGCCTTCCTCCACCAGAAGTAGCAGAGCTTCCAATGTGATCCACAGGTCATACTGGATCAGCACAGGCCTTTCTTTTCCTGCGTGAACAGCTGTCCCCATTGCTACAGCCTTCTGACTCTTCTGGATCTGTCAGTGTACTAGACCTTGCATTTTATCTCCAATAAGGTCCAGACTGGCCTCAGACTTGTAACAATCTTGCTGCCGCCGAAGGTCTAGGATGAAGGTGTCTGCTACCACACCTGGCTTGGACCTGGCTTTTACTGGGCCATGAAGGGAGATGGGAAAATGATAAAGAGCCCCTGGGATCCAGTTGCTAAGTTGCTGGCACTTGACATCAGCCCTGTGGGGTATTCATACCCGAAAACCAGAGGGTGTTATTGGCGGCATTTTTTTTTTGGAGGGGACTTAATAAGTGCAGCATGGATGGATGGATCTCCTTCCCAAACTCCTACCCGAGCCTCAGTCCATCATGGGTGCAGCAAGCACTTTTGTCTTTTTCTAAGTTAAAAAAGAAGCATGCTTTCTGGAGCTTGGGTGGCACCCAAGGAACAACCAGCAGGCTTTCCAGGTGTGGCTGAGCGCCACAGCTGTTCACATGCTGGGGAAACTCCTAACTGGACCATCCTTTCGAAGACTTCTTGGTTTGCTGCTAAACTTGGTGGCACAAGTTTGCAATTCCAGCCTACTCAGGAGGCTGAGAAAAGAGAACTGGATTTTCAGTCTGCCTGAGCAATGTGGCACGACAGTGCTCCAAATACAAATCATGGAGAAAAAAGAGATGGTATATGGTGCTTAGCTGCCATACACAAGACCCTAGTTCAATCCTTCCTTCCTTCCTTCCTTCCTTCCTTCCTTCCTTCCTTCCTTCCTTCTTTCCTTCCTTCCTTCCTTCCTTCCATCTCTCCTTCCTTTCTTCTCTCTCTCTCTCTCTCTCTCTCTCTCTCTCTCTCTCTCTCTCTTCTTTATCTTATTTTTTTGAAACTGGGTCTCACTGTGCAGCCCTGGCTGACTTGGAACTCACTATGTGGACCAACCTGTCCTCAAATTCACGAAGATCCACCTGCCTCTGCCTCTGGAATGCTGAGATTGCCCACCACACCCACCAGAAAGTTTTCTTGACTCATAGGCACTTAAGAAAATCCAGTTATGGAAATTTGAGATTTTGGAATCCTATATGGAGTGTCCTGATCTGAAAAACCTCTTATTTATAGGTTTGTTCAAGAAGGACAGTGTGAGCAAATGTCCTAACATCGTCTACACTGCCCTGATGAACCCTTCCGAGAGATCCATGCTGGAGTCTACCCAGAGTGCTCACTTGGCTGGGTATGATGGGCCTGCCTGTTTTTCCTTTGGAGGAGGAACTCTGCCCTTGCAGGTGAGGAGATAAAATATTTGGCGTGAGTCCAAAGTGAGGGCATAGTAAACTATGAGTCTTTTAACCCTGGAATGTGCTCACCCTAAGAGGCACTCAGGGGGCAAAGCCATGTACCGAGACTTTCCACAGGCATGGAGAACCCCCCAATTGCTTGCTCTCACCTCTCCCCAGCCATTGCTGAAGTTCAATATAATCATCAGAAATTAAAATCATAGAAATGTGGGACTGGAAGGGATGTCGCAGCCAGCTCCCGTCAAAGGCTGAAACTTCTCTCTGGTGTCTTCATTCACTTGACCTCTGTTTGGATTCCTTCAGTGTCCAGCGCTTGTCCCTGCAAGACCCTTCCTGAAGGTCACTTCTGAGCACCTCTAACCATGTCGTTGAGCATGGTGAGGCTTTCTGTGTCCCTGATCACTAACAGACACCTACAGAGTGCCTCTCCTGCGTACACTGGGACACAGAGGAAATCAGACCTGCCGGGGACCCTGAAGAGTCAGCAGTGAGAGAAAGGGATTCTCTGCCCCCCAACTCCTCAGAGCTGCCCTTAAGTGGCAAGTAACGTCTGAGGATTCCTAGAGACCCTAAAATTCCCAAAACCAGTCCAAATCTCTCATGGCGTAAGGACAAGGTCAAGGTCGTGTCGTGCCAAAGCACCACTCAGGACGAAGCCTAAATCTGTCTCAAACTGCCCACACCCTTCCTCACTCCCACAGCAGCCCCTTCCCCAGACAAGATAAGCCGAAGGCTAAAGTCTGACTTGAAGCCCACCTGTCCACCCCACCCCCACCCTCCCTCACCCTCGCTCCTTTACTAGGTCTAGCCACAACTGTCTGGACTTAACTCCAGCCTCTCAGAGCTCCAGGAGACCCAATGCAGTCCCAGGCCACTGGAGGGGGCAGACAGCTGGGCTGGGTGATGGGTGGTTTTAATATTTAAACACAGCTTCCCGCTGTACAGCCACAGGCGAAAGCAGCTGCGTCCTTTTTCTTCTCCTTCTTCTGCTTCCTTCCTTCTTCTTTTTTTTTTTTTTTTAAATCTTTAATGTCTCCCGCCAGGCGCTGGTGGGGAGGCATCGGTCCTGTGCCATATATCAAAGGATTGCCACAGCTGGAGGGATATTCGGAGCATTCCCAGCCAATCCATTGTGTATAAATATATAGATATATATATATAGGTTTCATTATCCCCTTCAGGGCTGCCAGAGAATATATTCTTTTAATATGTATAATATATTTGAGCTGCTACTCGACTCAAGGGAGGAGGGAGGGCCCACCATTGACATTTCCCAGGCATTTCCAAGGAAAGAGAAGCAGCTGACTTTGGGGAAAGGGAGGGGGTCCCATCAGCTAAGGTGGATCTCAGGACCGTGCTGTGGTATCTCAAATGTAACCCCAGTCTTGTGCCTGGGCCCCACCTTGGTGTTTTCTTGGTCCTTTAAGAAGATTTGTGTGATCTTGAGTACCCATAGTTTCCTGCCATTGAGGGGTCTTCTGGTCTAACAATAGGTTTGCATTGCAGGGCAACAAGTCTGCAGCCACCACAGTGCATACCAGTGGGAGTTTAAGGACATGCGCTTGCTGTGTGACCTTGGGCAAGCTGCACGCACTATCTGAAGCACAAGGCTTCGTTTATAGGTGGAGTCAGCCAGCCTGCCTTGCAGGATGAGTAGAGCTCAGCTAGGGACACCCCTGGAGTGGAAGGGGGGCTGTGCCAGGCTCACTTGCACCCAGAGAGACGAGACCTGAAGGACGAGTCCCACAAAGACCAAGGAAAGAGAAAGTCCCTCGGGTCTCCCCAGCCTGCCCGGCGAAGGGACATCTTGGCCATGTGAACCCCATGTAGGCTAGGTCCTTGGTTACAGACTCGGCTGCAGCATCCCCCTCCACCTCCAAGGATGGGTTCTGCTCTGTTTGCTGTGCCTGGGTGGTGCCCTTCAGCCACTTTCCAGGGGACTAAAGAATCACGTTGTTCTCTGCAGCGAGGGTAATTTAGAAAGGAGGTCAAAAGATAAAGGGGCTTTGTTGTTGTGAGGCCCCCCACCCCCAACTACCACCACTGCTTCACGCTCACCTAGGTCCGGAAGAGGAGGACAGACGTCACCAGAGTCCTAGTGGGTACAAATGCTAAGCTCTGGGGCAGGGGTTTCCACGAGTTAGTGCAGCCGAGGACTTCTCAGCTTCACCTGGACTCGAGGATGGGTCTGCCACAGTGTGAGCATGCTCTGACGCCAGGCTGAGGTCTGGAGCCCGATGCTTGCTGGTAGAACCCACCCGTCCACCCACCCCAAGGACAGGGCAAGAAGAGGAAGCGTGGGGTCCGAGCTCCTGTTGTAGGCTCCATTCCTGCCCGCAGTGCATGCCAGTCCCCTGCCACCTTGGTCAAGGGCACCTCTGCACACCAGCCCGAATCCCCGCCTGTCCCCACCCTCTCAACCCTGCGGCAGCATCCACACAGAGACCCCGCGGAACTATACCATCAGTTTCCTCTGGGGTTCCGGCTCCTGTCAGACCCCCGCCCAGGAGCCACAGGAGCTTTCATGAAAATGGCTGTGATCTTGCCTTTTCTGTCGCTCCTTCTGCCTGCCTGGCCTCTGCACAGCTGACTCCATTTCACCTGCCCGCTCATGGCTTAAATGTTAATTCGTTAGCCTTTTTCTCATGCAATCAGTCGATCATCGATCAATTCAATTCATTTTTAAGACAAGATCTTTCTATATAGCCCAGGCTGGCCTCAGACTTGTGATTTTTCAGTCCCAGCTTCCCACACACTGGGAGTGCAGATGTCTAGTTCTGGGTTATTCTTCACCCAAGGCTCTTGTGGCTTCTGTCCTCTCCACCTGTAACTGTTGGGGTGCTTACTAGTTAGACCATCCCCCTCTCCCCGGAAAGCACAGTCCCTGGGACAAAGCCTGGCTTCCCTATTTCCTGCCTCACTCCCAGCAAGCAGCAGAAGGCCTGGCCCACAGTGAGGGCCCAAAGAGTAGAGCAGTGTCTGACGGCCGGACACATCCTGAGAGTCAGGCTGCCAAGGAAGGAAGACCCCACCTTTGGCTCAGATCACTGTCCCACTGTCCGGCTGTCCAGATACACAAATCCGGGAATGGGCAGGACCTAGATGTGGTGTGATTGGATAGTATACAGGGAGTCCTCTGATGCACCCAGCCATCTCTGAAGCCTCTGGGCTGAGAGAGGAAAGGCAGGAAAGTGGAAAGGCAGGAAAGGAGGAGGAGGTTTCTGTTTCCCAGAATGCCAAGAGGATGGGGGTGGGGACAGATGGAGGGTTTGAAACTTCGGCCTTGCCCAGTACCTTGGCTCACACACTTCCTGGCAGCTTCGGATGTCTGAAGGGACAAAAGTCACTGAGTCCAAGTCCTTGCCTCTGAGTGGCTCTAGGCAGCTCAGCTGCGGGAAAGCAACCCCTCTCGTGCTCATGAACTCTAAAGAGAGGCTTGGTGTTATGGAGCCGGGATTTTAAAAGATTAAGCAATCTCCTTTCACAATCTCACTTTCTTTTTCTGAACAGAGGAATGGTAGTCTCAGCCAGCCTAAGCGGGGCCTCTCCGCCCACGGCGGCCTCTCCGCGGAGCGTGGGCGCCCCCTACTGGAAAGCTGCGAACACACAGGCCGGGCTCTCCACCGGCCCAAGACTCGACTTAACTTGAGATGGGGCGCAAGTTCCATCCAACCCCTGTGTAGCGCTGCAAGTCCTCCGGAACCTCGTGTGTCGAGAGAAGAGCAGACATACACATAAACACCCACCAGCCTCAAAGGTCCAGACCAGTCTAAACTTATGCACGATGTTAGTCCTCCTTTACTTGGGCAGATGGCACTCAATAAAGCAAAATGATACTGTTAGTGGAAGCGTAGATAGGGCTTGAATGCACAGGCTTTGTGTCCTGAGTTCCCAAGGGGTGGGAGGGTAGAGATGGAGCCAGGCATCTCCAGGAAGAAGCTATGAGGCAAGGGCTCTGCCCATCTCAGCGTCTCACCAGCCTTCACTCAGGCTGTGGTTTCAGGCCTTGTATGCGTGCTCTCCCGCTCAGGGACTTCAGTCTGCAGGGGAGAAAGAAGAAAACCGGGACTCAGTATCCCGTGTGCAAGCCCTTAGATTTGAAATTAGGGCTGCCGGCTTTTCACTGTGTAGACGGTGCCTCCTGTTTGATGAGCACTGCTTCCAGAGCACTCCCAACCCTGGTGCTGACCTCCGGGGTAGGGGATGGGGGTGAGGGGTACAGTATTGACAAAAAAGAAACTAAAAGCCAGGTAGCTGAAACGAGATGGCCGCTTGTGATCCCAGTACTCTGGAGGCAGTACTCGGGATCCCTGGAGCAAGCTGGATGTATAGACTAGATGGAATTAGAGAGCTCTGGGTTCAGCTAGAGAGCCTGCCTCAATAAATAGAGAGGAGAGTAATGAAGGAATGCACTTCACACACACACACACACACACACACACACACACACACAGGTGTGGGGAGGTAAGCAACTACAAGATAAAGCAAGGCTAGTCAATAACCCAGCGATTACTACTAATATGAGAAAGAAATACAACCACACATCCCTGCTTGGGTTGGGTCAGTATGGCTTACCCCTGAAACTCCCGTTGAATTTAATCCGCCTGGTGATCTACTATGAGGAACCGTTATGGGACCATCAAGAGGTGGCTGGGGCTCCACCCTCACTGGGTAGCTGGACTCATTTGTGAGATTGGAGGACGAAGGGGTTAATGGTCTCTCGGAGAGTGGGCTTGCTGTAAGAGCCAGTGTGGCCAGGTCTGCCAGCTGCTCCCTGTTATCTTCCCCATACCACACGGGGACTGTATCAGCAAAGCCATCCTCTCCTCCTAGGGCCAGAGCTGGGAACTAACAGAAACCTTTCCCTCAGAGCTTACCATTTGTGTGTGTGTGTGTGTGTGTGTGTGTGTGTGTGTGTTATTGTTAATATTTTCATGTGTGGGTATATATGTGTATATATATATTAGGGTTTCCATTGCTGTGATAAAACACCATGACCAAAAACAACTTGGGGAGGAAAGGGTTTTATTTCAGCTCACACCTCTGAGGAAGTCAGGGCAGGAACCCGGAGGCAGGATTGAACCAGAAGCCAGGAGGAGTATTTTTACTGGCTTCCTCACTCATGGCTGGCTCAACCTGCTTTCTTATAGTACCCAGAACCACCAGCCCAGGGGTGACATCGCCCCAGGGAGTGGGGCCCTCCCCTATGATTCATCAAGAAAATGCATCACACACTTGCCCACAGGCCAGTCTGGTAGGATTATTTTCTCTGCGGCAGTTCCCTCTTCCAAAATGACTCTCGCTTGTGTCAGGTTGACATAAAACTAGACAGTGCAAGATGAGGGTGTGTACATGCCATACCAGCAAGCTCTAGGACTGATTGAGAGACCCTGCCTCCGTGAAGACGGTAGAAGAGTGATGGAGGATGATTCACAGTATCAACCTCAGGCTCTACAGCAGTGGTTCTCAACCTCCCTAATACTGCGACCCTTTAATACAGTTCCTCAGGTTGTGACGACCCCTCAGCCATAACATTGTCTTGTTGCTACTTCACAACTGTAATTTTTCTACTGTTATGAACTGTAATGTAAATATGTAATATGCAACCCCAAAGGGGTCGAGACCTGAAGGCTGAGAGTCACTGCTCTGCACACACACACACACACACACACACACACACACACACACACGTGCGCGCGCGGGGAGGGAGCTCAGAGTCTTGTGAGCCCAGGCTGAAGCTGAAGCTGACCTTGAACTCCCCATCCTGCTTCTGCTTCCTGAGTGCTGGGATAGCAAGTGAGCCACCATCACCCCCTGCGGCTTTGGGTTCCTCTCCTGGGATGGGATTGCTGGGGGTGGAAGCCAGAGCCTCCCACACCAGGCAAGCGCTCTGCCTCTGGGCTGCACGCCTGTCTGTTCCATGTCTATCCCTCTGCCAGCGCAGCACTGTTTAAATTCCCATGTATCAATTCAAGTAATTCCTCCTCTTTGTTCTCCTGGGCTTTATTACTTGGGGCTCGTGCCTTTCTATATAAGCTTTAAAATAGGCTTGCCTATGCCTACAGAAAGCTTTTCTGGGATTTTTATGGGAATTGCACTAAAAATGTAGATCATTTGGAGGGAATTGACTTTTTACTATGTTAATTCTTCTGATCCACGAGCACGGTCAGCCACTTAGATCTTCTCTGGTTTCATTCTTCAGAATTCTGTAATTTTCTAAAGACAGATTCTGCAGGTGTGGGGACCTCTCCCTCCCTGGAAACATTGTATATGGTATTGTTCTCCATCTGAGGCCCCATGAGCTGGTTTTATTTGAAACAAGTTGAAGTTCCTTGATCTTAAGAGACTGATTCACTCTGGGGTTCCATTTCCCTAGAGAATGGAAAGCTGTGGGAGAGAGCACACCCCCTCCCAGCCAGGAGGAAACAACAAACTTATCAGCAGAATAGTGACTTGTGACTCTTCTTAAATCCATCAGAGACCTGAGGTCACATGGTCACCAAGTGCGTCAGATTCTGAAGTGTGACTACCTGCTTGAAGAGGCATCAGGACCCACTGCAGGATCCATGCAAGGTGCTCCAGGGACTAGCCTTACCCCTGCTGGGAGCCTGTACTCTGTGGAATAACTTACACACACACACACACACACACACACACACACACACACACACACACACTTCGTCTCTCACACATATACACATTACATGAAGTCAGCAAGGGTCACCAAAAGCCCAGAGGTCACAACTAGTGGGTCTTCCACAGTGACCTGAGGCAGACGGCATTTCATATACAGGTCCCACTTACAGTGCAGTTGAGGAGCCCCAGAAATTGGCCCTCTCAGCTCCCAGATCCTTGGGACAATGTAACAGGCTGCATGTAGTTGTGGTAAGGCAGCCTGTCCCTGCGTGGGACAGGGACAGAGTACAGAGTCTCAGCCAGCTCTTCCTTATCTCAGGATGTCTTGGTCACTAGACATTCTTGTTATTTTGACAAATACAAGCAGGAAAGCCAGGGGATTGGCTCAGTCCAAGGCCACCCAGGAAACTGTCCTCACATAAACGGCTTCATTCCAAGTTGCTTTCCAGAATCTTCTATCCTATAGCACAAAAACAAGACATTCTTGGAAGACAGACAAGAAACCTTCATTTCTGGGCTCCACTGCTTCTGGGGAAACACAGACACAAGAGTGATGTGGTTCTGGGGAGGGGGAGGAGGAAAGTCTCATCCCATGGGAGGGACCCACCACTGAAGAGACGGCGTCTGTCCTGGAGGGCAGCAGGTCTCCCACCCAATGCATCTGCTGAAACCCAACTGCCAATGTGATGGTATTGCAAAGTGGGCCCTTTGGAAGATGACTGAAACCTTCATGAGTACCGTTTGTGCCCTCAGAGCAGAGATGCCAGAGAGCTGGCTCCCTCCTTTCACTGTGTGGGGGACCTGGCTACAAAACACTGTCTAGTTAGCTCTGTCAGCTTGACAGAGGCTGGAGTTACCTGGGAAGTCTCATTTGGGGGATTGTCCTACAGGCATGTCTGTAGAGGACTGTCTTGCTTGTTAATGAACTAGGAGGGCCCAGCCCATTGTGGGTGGCACCATCCCTAGACAGGAGGTCCTGGGCTGTGTAAGAAAGCTAACCGAGCATGAGTCTGAAAGCCCTGCTCAACCCCAGCACTGCTGGTTACTTCACCTTGAACATCCTCGGCCCCAGAGAAATGTGGAAATCAAGTTTTTGTTAATTATACAATATCTCAGTCTATAGTATTTTGCTAACAAATGTAAAGAGCAAACTGGAAAAAAAATAAGTGGCTGGAATTTCAGCATGTTTCTAAAGGCCGAGGGTAGGCCCCCGGTGATATTTGGAGGCCACAGTCATCATCATGCTCTTCCCCTCAGTCACCTGGGCCTCCAGGACATGAATCCTCAGTCTTTCCCTTATTGTGCAAAAGCAAGACACTCCTGGAGGAAAGACAAGAAACCCTAGTCCCCATCTCTTGATCAAAGATCTGCTGTTTGTGGGGAAAAAACAGAAGAAAGGCCATTGACCTCCAGACGAGCTGGCCCTCATAAAAGAGGAAGTATGAGTCCTGCCAGGGAGAGGCCAAGGATCCTCCAACCATACAGAGGTTAAAAGTCACTGGTCTTTCAGCTCCAAGGTAATGGACCCCAAGGCAGCAGGATTCAAGCTCTCGGGGATCAAAAACAGAAAGAGGATCCCCAAGCGAGAAGAAAAAGGGAATGAATAGCACACACTGGCTTGTACTTCACCCGCCAGCAGATTTCTCAACAGAAACATTCTGGGGCCAGAAAGGAGGAGGATGGTGTATACAGTGTGCTGAGGGGAGGCTTTGCCAACCAACGGTGCCAGGCCCAGCCAAATGGCTACCAGAAATGAAAAAAAGAGAAAAATACCCCCCCAAAAGCTGAACAAAGTCATCACCACCAGAAGAAAGAGATGTTAATACATCAATAAGAGCATGGGGCATAGGTTGCTGTGTGTTTAGCACGAAGGATAACTACACTAATTTATTAAGAGATTGACAGTTTAAAAGGATGTAAAACGAAGACATCATAATTCAAAATAGGGGGGACAAGGGACCACTCGGTGGTAGAATCACTGCCTATCACACATGAGGTTCAAGTCCCAGCACCAAAAAGTTATATAAATAAATTTAAACGGGGCAAATGGACTGAATTTTTCTTGTTTCTTTTTTGTGTCTTCTTTTATATCTGTATGATCAAGGTTAAATTTCTATTCATTTAAAATAACTTGGAACAAGATCGTTGCTTCTCCAGAAAACCCAGAAAGGAACATGGCCCAGCCCACTCTACTCTTTCTAGGTCACCTGCAGATAAAGCTACACAAAGATGTTAAAAAATATATATACAATTAGCCAGGTGTGGTGGTTCAGGCCTGTAACTCCAGTCTCTCTGGGTAGGTCTGTATTTAGTTTTACTATTCACTTTATGTAAAATATGCCTCAATGCCGGGCGGTGGTGGCGCA